GACCACGCTGGATCATATACGAGGTTTCATACGGACATGCAGGACACACGGAAGGCGGAAGGACTCGCGGCTTCTCTCCAGAGCGGCTTTCGTCCTTTTATCTCGAACTGCGGGGCCGCTCTCTCGCGCCGGGCAAGCCGGGCGTCTTGGAGCGGGCGTCTCCTGGACGACGCCTCGGATCAATACCGACGCCCAGCGTCTCATTGGCCCCTTCTCTTAGGTGCCGTGGAAAATCGCCCCGGAGATGACGGCCAGGAAGAGGCAAGAGGGCGGCGGAGGAAGAGAGCGGGTGGGCCGAGGGGATGAGAGACAGCCGTGCGGACCTTCCTTCCTTCCTCCATCCTTCCACAGCCTCCGGCCATTCTTTGCAGCCCCTTTCGGCCTTCGTTTTCTCGTTTCACTTGTTCGTTCTTTCGTCGACGCGCGACTTCTTTGCGCTATTCGACTTTCATCACGTTGGATTATTATGCATTTAATGCTCGCATTCGTGATGAATATTTTTCATTCATTTTTATCTTGCAATTAACGAAAATAAACTTCACAATATCTGTTAAATGTATCCATTTACATTTTCGCTGATATTCGCTTTCATGTTATTGTTACGCGTATTGGCGATACATTTGAATTGGATATATTTATTTTTTGAGAATATATATTTTTTGCCGATAAAACATTCGCGTCATTTGTGTTCGTCTAATTTATTGCATGCATCACGGAAAATTGAGATAAAATTTATACGCTACGAATTTTATGGAGCTCGATTTTTTTAATGCTCCGAATCTTTCACTCGTTTTCTCAACGTTATCTACATATACGAATGTTCGCGTTGCGGCGGAAAGTTTTGCATAAATTCCCAATAATGGAGAGTTTATTCCACGCGTTACTCCGCCACGGAGTCCGGCCATTCTTTGCCGCCCTCTCCATCCTACCTCATCCTGCCTATCTTCCTGCCCGCGAGTCTGTTTCAGAAACATCTACAATAGCGACAAACGCTTGCATCACAGGCGAGGAAAATGGCTCGATATACCGGGATATAAATTCCTTGTTATAAAGGATGCATTCGAGATTGCGTCTGAAACATTCATAATTGAAAGGTTTCTCGTCCTCGAGAGCGCATTAAGTCGCCTTTTTGCGCGAGTTTCGCGCGCCGCACACGACCCGATATTGTTTGTACCAATTGCATTGCCGTTCCATTTTCCTCGAAATATAATTGCCTCGTAGGTATCAACTACGTAAGCTTTACGAAGTAACGAATTGCATAAGCCGTGTCTGAGTAAAATAGTATTCAGCTATTTTTGATGCGGTTTTAAAAATAGTCTTTATAAAGTAATGTGAGAAGTAATCAAAGAGGTTATACAAAATGTTTCTCATTAGTTAAAATTGAAAAAAAATCGCAATACAATTATTAATTTTGCGCTTTGCAATACAATTGTTAATTATACTTGGAATTATTTTCATTAAATTCTTATTTCTATAATCACTTGTAAAAATATGGCTTTAATAAATCCGTTAAAATAAAAAAGTATCAGAAAGGCTTTTTTTATTTTCTAAAAAGACAGAGATCTCTCTCTCTCTCTCTTTCTCTCCCTCTCTTTCTGTCGATTCGTCCTCTCGACGGGGCAAATACGGCTGCATTTATTTTTCATAAGACGGAGGAGCGATGTTCGACGGGAAACTTCAGTAACGCATACAGAAAGCCACACGAGCTGACCGCGTGTCCACATGTCGAGGCGTGAGGTCACTTCGGAAAGCCGCGTCGTCGTTTTCACAAACTTTCGTAGCCATCGGGAGGATCGTCCCGACGGCAAGGATCAAGGCGAGGATATGTGTGTACGCGTGCCGAAGTGATTTTTTGCGCTCTCGGACCCTCTTTTCTTTTTTTACCGGCCGACCGATCTTCCCACACTTTCAATCCTCCCGCCATATCCTTTTCTCCTCCTCCCTTTTTATCTTTCGCCTGAAACCTCCGCAGCCCATCTTTTTTACCTCCTCGACCCTTTTCCCTCTCTCTTCCTCCTCTCGCCTTGTCACTTCGTATCTACGCTCGAAAGGTACGGCACGCGGCACGAGACACATTATTAGCTTAATAACTCCGGGGGACCTTTTTTAATCCCGCCACCGCTTCAGGAGAAGCTGCCTCCGCAGAAGACTTTAATTAAAAAATAAACAAGCGAGCCGGGGCCGGTAAACGTGCGAGAGATTTAAAGAGCCCTCCGGGGGGGTCCTGGGACATTTGCATTTCGATTTTCGGTCGAGTTCTCGACCCAAGAACATCCCGGAAGCCTGTCACTGCCAATTCACGCGAGACCCGCTGAGGATTAGTCTAAACAATTGTTACACAAGCGCAGAGATCTCTCGCCCCGCGAGGTTTATATGCGATTCGATAGCAAGAAAATGAATCATTAACCAATCACCATTTCGACCGGACAAAAACTGTCAACGGACAGAAATTGTCGCCGTAGCCGACGCTAATGGCGCGGCTATCCGATAAAATAGTGGGGACATAAATAAAAAATCGGCCGGCGCTCGTGTTTGCGTTCTGTCGATAAGCGGGTGGCAGGGGCAAAAATCTGTATCGCTTAACTTTTCAACACGTACAAATAATTAAATGGCTAACGAGATTTCACGGACGGAGGTGTGCGGTTCGCGCGCGGGTGTCCACAATCGATCGCGATATTCGCTAAACATTTGCGACGTGCAG